TGAGCCTGCGTCATCTTTGGCGACAGAAGGGAGTTTCCCTCCGTCTGAAAGGCCGTGTATACAAGGCCACAGTGGGGGCCGTTCTGCTCTATGGTAGTGAAACTTGGCCCCTTCGGTCTGAAGATGTGAGGCGCCTTCAAGTCTTTGATCATCGTTGTTTGCGAAGCATTGCTGGTGTCGGATGGCACCAGAGTGTCCGCAACGATGATGTGCGTAGGCGAGTACTAGGTGGTGATGATCATGCTATCTCCCTAGAACAACAGATAGCACTGAATAAGTTACGTTGGCTCGGGCACGTGCTACGTATGCCTGTTCACCGCTTACCTAGGAGGGCCTTGTTCAGTCTACCAGGTGTCGGATGGCGCAAGGCTCGAGGTGGACAGAAGTTGACTTGGCAGCGGGAAATGAAGTCACTGACGACCAAACTGGGTGCCGTTGGTCCGTCTCGCCTTCCGGGTTGGAGTCCACGTGACTCACCTTGTGCTTGGCTCGAGACTTTACAGGACATGGCTCGCAACCGACACCAGTGGCGCGTCTGCTGCTGTCTCCTAATCGGATTGTCTGTTTAAAGTGTGTTTGGTGCTGAGTTATCTGCGGGGTAATGGCTGATTATGACGCGTGGCAGTGAAAGCCGCAAGGAAGCTGTCTCGCCGATGCCGCCTTATCTTTGCACGATAGCCAGCTGTTTGTGACGGTATGTTGTCTACACAAGGTGTAGGCGCCTTGACCCTGAATGTTTGCTTAGGGCATTAAGGTTTTCAGGTAAGTCCCCCTTTTCTCCCTCTTATTTTTTTATTTCATAGGTCCTCATGGTTGTATGGCAGCGAAGCATCAGTTCAAATGGCTGATGTACTGCTGTTGATGATGATGATGATTTCATACTTGTCATACACTTTGAGTGTGTCATGTCGGATTCACTGTATACCGGCGATTTGCGACGTTCTTTCCGATGGATATTCTTCGTTGCTGGCGTCCAAAATCGGGATGGATTTCCTTCAGCACTTCGACTGGCTTGTTGACACTAAACGACAACGTCTCATCGATCAGACAAAAAAGCTTTCCTCGTTGGAGTATCCAGCGATTTAGCATCGCTCAGCCCCGGGGTACGCTACCGCCAACTCACCTACCGGCAAATCGCTACTTGAGAGTTCACAGAAGTCTTCTGACCTACGTCGCTTCTGCCAAACGCCGCTGTAGCTGCACCGCATCACATAGTTACCAAAGGTCCGCCTGTCTCCGCAAAGCCCGAATATTGACTCCGGATAAGCTGAAAACTGCCCGTGCGGAATTCGAGCACAAGCCCGAACTTGGGATCGTCCGACCGTCTAACAGCCCTTGGTCTTCACCACTTCACATAGTGCCGAAAAGTCCGGAGACTTGCGACCATCTGGAGACTACCGCGCTCTCAACAATGTAACAGTTCCGGACCGATATCCGCCTACTCACACACGTGATATTACGGCCGGTCTTCATGGCGCTCGTGTGTTGTCAAAGATTGATCGAGCTTATTATCAGATCCCGGTCGCCGACGAGGACTTACCGAAAACCGCCGTTATCACGCCATTTGGCCTATTCACGTTTCTTCGAATGCCATTCGGTCTGCGCAACACCACGCATACATTTCTACGCTTCATCGACTGCGTGGTACGTGGACTCGGCTTCGTCCGCCCGTACATCGACGACATTTTGGTGGCCAGTTTATCGGATGACGAACACTTTAGTATATCGCCTAGGTGGGGACACTCCTGTTGACTTCCAATGCTATTGGTATAATCACTGATATAATACGCAATCCAGGCATTGTACTACGCCAATATGGGGCGTAAAAGTGGCTTACATCAGTCCACTAAGCATAAACTTGGAAAGTCCGCGATAGAACTTTTATGGTGGTGCTCCAATCATCTTGAACCATTTTGGAGAGAAAACAACGGTGTCAACTAGAGACCATCCATAAACAGATTAAGCTACGGAACTACCGGTTTCTGTACGCGTGGTTACAGTGTTGCACTTGGACGATGTCTACGTAAATGAGGTGCAGGCTCTACCGTGGGGGCTTTAATGCCCGGGTGGAGTTCTACTTGTCGCTTCGACGAGACTTTCAGTTTTATTTTAGACATTTGTTCCCCTCTAAAGATTGGGAACTCTAACGACGGTTCAGTGTACGGTTCCTTCATTCTGCTTATGTTTTAACATATTCTATCCTTGTAGTAGCTACGTTTACGTGATATATCTTACTGATCTGCCTCTGAAATTATTCGAGAACGGTATGACACATGTAAAGGGTGATCTAAACACTTCCGGTGCGCAGCTTAACGATGAGACGGTATTTACTTCACGCCTCTTGCTTTACCTTCCAGAGTGCAATCGTGAAATAAGGATAGATAACAAGGACGGTTAACTGGGCCACGTGTTATCTATTATACCTTCCCGTTTTTTTCTCTGGGGTTCTTCCCATCTTGCTTGTTACATTTTGGCAACGCTGAATGTAGTGTTATTCGGTGCGATCTTGGCCGCACATAGCAAAGCGCATTCCTCACCACTTGCAGCATTCTGTTGCAAGAAAACCGGTTGGCATAACTAAAACTGGAGCTGGTGCGGTTTTTTTTACAGAGCACACACGTATATGGATTCGTTGCACATCATATTGGCATGCATTTCGCTATCTCAGACTATATCTTCAGCATGCGTTTGGAGCCGATTGCTTGTTACTTCAGATCAGTTATTTATCGCTTAGTATGCATAGCTGTGGAAGGTTTGCGTCCTCAACTTCAAAACTGTCACACCGTTCACAATAGGGTTATTTCACAACTTCACATGCAATGAAATCTGACACACCAATTACCTTATTTGTGAGGTGTGTGCAATCCATCGCTCTTGGCAATCCTTTCTTGGAGCCCGAGTGGATAACGTCATCCACACCTGACAGGTTTATGAGTGCAGAAATCGTCTCCGACTTCCCGTAACCGCCATCTTCAACCTAAGCTATTTGTTAGCCTTTAGTATCCGATCCTGCTCACTTAATCATTTTTGCTTTCAGCGGAAAACATTGTTTTCGTGTACTCCATTCGCGACACTGCGTTGCTGGCGGATTTATCGGTAATACAAATTAGCATCCTGCTGCTTAACGTTTTTCGTGCGCATCCTGAGTTGCGTCGGGGTGCACAGACTCTAATGCGCATATCATCTCATTGCCCAAAGCGATTTATTGTCTTGATCTGGAAACTGAACTTTACCCATCCTTAGTCAGCATAACCTTATTCCTCTGTTTATTTCAAGGTTTCCGCTGTGTATTGATGGCACGAATGTTTTTGTAGTTCAGGGTTTCAATTGTGACTTTTTCTCAGCAATAGAAAAAAATGCAGACGCTCATGCAACTGTTTGCATTCTGAGCAATCCATAGGTTTTCCCAGGGTTTGAACAACCATTGAAAACCTTCAATACAAACCCACAAAAACACTCACAGACATAGGTTGTTTCTCTCCGCCACCAGGACCTATGTTAGTGAGGAAACCTTCAGTCTTTGGCCAAGTGGTCTGCACGTTTAGCTTGCAATCGTACGTTCACCTTTTCGAATCCGCGTCTGAGTAGGCGTCCTCGCGGTATCTTCAGTCCACGCGCGACTGGTGGTGGTCACGCGACAGCACAGCGCCGTTACGGCGTACAGCCGACGATTCATTCATTCATTCATTAGTGAGGAAAGTGTCGGCACCACGCAATATGAGCATAAATCCTGTGTTTTTTCCGAAATGTTCCAGGTATGTGTTTCCCAAACATTTCATCCCAAACACGCACAAAAGAGTCATGGTTGATTTATCCGGTTCCCTATGCTTTTCGGTACTTATGTTCACTTTACGGCTTTCATACCCTCTTAGCCGTACGTTAATATGTAAACCGCGAGGTTATACATCATGCAAGCGCACGCCGGTACTCGAGCTGTCTGGAAACGCCACTTAGCAGTGAATGCCCAGTACAGTTATCCATTTCCCTTTCTAGTAGACGACTTCGTATAAGTAGAACGGAGAACATGGATTTTATGTCACAAACCGTATCGCACAGCTTCATTTTATGCTGATGTCGGTCCACCCACGTGTCACAATTCATGGTACGTTGTTGGAATGTGTGAAAATCGTGCATGCGTAATGTTTCGTGAAGGAACTGAATCGGTAAGACGCTAACAAAAAGTGCCGGTTTAATGGAAAGCCATTGGCTCACATTGTTTTTGGTAAGCTTTGAAATGATACATAGCACTTAAACTTACGGATACAGTAGCGCGAAAAATGTCCACCGGCTGCACCAGGGCGATGATTATCCGGAAGCTACGTCGGTGGATATGTATGTCGCTTCAATGGGAGCGCAAACAAAATCTATCGTTGTGTCGTACTACATTTATTCCAACTCTTTGTTCTGTTTCTAACTAATACCACGAGCCTTTGCACGATAGCCGGCTGTTTGTGACGCTATGTTGTTAACACAAGGTGTAGGCGCATTGACCCTGAATGTTTGCTTAGGGCATTAAGGTTTTCAGGTAAGCCCCCCTTCTTTCCCTCTTCTTATTCTTTATTTCATAGGTCCTCATGGTTGTATGGCAGCGAAGCATCAGTTCAAATGGCTGATGTACCGCTGTTGCGGCAGCGGCACAGCAGCTGAGGTGTTCCTCATCTCTAGCTAACGTGTATGATGATAATGATGATGATGATGATGACGGGCCACATAGGGTGGGTGATGGCATGGCTTTACCCAACGGGTTTTCACATTCGATAAAGAGGTATTCGTTGGGATAGAGGATTGCTTTAACTTCTCTTCTGAGTGGCACTTAGTTGTTGCATCGAGCAGATTTCCGGTCGCCAATGTGCACTTCTACAAGGAGGATCTTCGTGCCACTACACTTTAAAGGTATAATGCGGATGTCGAACGCGCGAAATTTACCCTTACGTTTGACTTGTTTAATTTTTCGCTAACCATAGATTTCTTACCTAGTGTTTTTTCATTCTGTCTTGCAGATGGTCATTCGTCACTTTGGACAGCTTATCTCTGTTTCGAAGTGCTGTACTGCTTTATTCCGAACATACACCAGAGAACAGGTGAAGCTGAAATTTCCTGCTTCGGCGAGAAAATCAAAACCGTCTACCTCGACCTCTCGTTCGCTCCCGTTTGTCGTCGAGTCTTATCTCGCTGCCACCGCTGATTTCTCAGACAAAAACAACGATCATGAACTCAACTCACCTGGTTTTAGCGAAGGCACCGGAGTAGCCTCAACTACACCAGCAGAAAGTGATGCGTTAAATTCAGAGATGCAGCTCCTGGGTCACAGTGACCCCGTGGAATCAGTTTGCATTGAGGACGATGATGCACTCAGACCTCTGTCATTTCACTGCAGCGGTTGTGGGTCTCCGCTCCACTGCCGCTCGGCCGAGGATCCTGGTTTTATTACTCGAGACAAATACTTAGCGTTGCAATCCGAATCCAAGCACAAGCTGTTGCGTCGGGGATACGCATTGAACCGTGCCCCAGCTGTATGCCATCGGTGTACTCTACTGATCAAACATCAGCGACCACGTGTAGGTATGCGTCTTTTTGACTAGTTTAGCAAGACCGCATTTAGTCCATCTGCTTCTACGGAGCTCATCGCCTCCGTCATTGGGAATGAGATAGATGCTACTGTGTTGCTCGTCGCAGACATGACTAACCTACCACACAGCATTGTGCCTGATCTTGGAAATATCTTGAAGTGTCACAGGTATTATAGTTTTTTCCAGCCATTGTGTTCAGATACATTCTTATCGGTAACAAAGTTGACCAACTACCTGTTGTCGGTCATAACTATCTCCAACGATGGACTGACGCATTGCTTGAGGCTGTTCAGAGCATATGTCACATCGAGCCCCGCCATGTTGCACATACCTCACTTACAAGCGCTTTGACCGGATTCGGGATTTCACAATTGGTCGATTTTTTACTTGGTAGAAGGTTTCATTCGATGTGTAAGTCTGCCACGTTTATAACTGGTTATGTACTATATACGTATTGATCCTTTGGTTTTCAATGAGTACTACCTGTCTGCTGTAATACACTTGTACAGGTACATGCCAATGCATTTTCAAGTAAGCCAAACTGGACCCCTAACGTCCATCTCTTAACGCGAGCATTCGGAGATATGTTACATCACAGAACTGGCGTCCATTGTTGGTGTTCCCTTGATACTCCTCATCCTTACTACCAACAACAGTGGTACGTAGTAACGAGCTGTTTTCACAGGAATTGGTTCCACCCTATTTCCAACTCTAGCTGGGTGAACATGTGACCAAGATTTTCCGATTCCCAGCTATTGAAACATATGCTAGAAGCCGCTCTCGTGGTATCCGAAGGTGCCACTCAGTAATGTTTAGTGAACTGGTTCGATTTGCAATTCGTCGCACTACGTTAACGTCCACTTTCGACGTGATCACACTAACTTCATAAAACTTACAGGCTCTTCTGGATATCATGAAGCGTTACCAGATTTATTTCAAGTTTATGGTCAGTGATGTTCACTAAAATAACAAAGTGGTCGCATATGGTACACTGGTATTTTCATCACCGTAGGTAGTCATTCTCTCTGCGGTTTTTGGTGCGTTTCATCTCGCGACAGGTTAGTCTCCAGGGGCGATACAGAGCTTCATCTATCTACTCTCTCGCTCCGTGTGACATTTACTAAGTTGTGGTCACCAGCGCTTATGCTTTTGCTCGACCGTCCTTTCTTCTTCCGACAGAAAACACTAAGTACAATGGATGCCATCGTTGCACTGATGAGGCTACCAAGATTACCGCCTCTCGGATAATGGCAATGCGTCACAGTTTTTATTATTCTTAAGTGAATTCGAGGAGCTTGTTTGACCAAGTCCTGCTTGGGCCTGTTTGGAAGATATTGGCCTACCGCACTTCAGCTGAGAAAAGGTTTATTCCAGCTGCGAAATACACAATTCTTAAAACCATTTCACAGTTGAATTGTATTTAGATATTTTGTTTGAGATCTAAACGTCGTTCCCAGGCGCCACATGTCTCCTCGCTTTTGACTCTTAACTTTTCTTGACTCATTGCCATTCACTCATTCTGTGGTCGATTTTCATCTTTTCTCTGAAAGCGCGATGTTTCTGCTCAACCTTCGATACAGTATTCATGGTGGGGCCCAACTGTTTATTTGCGCAAAGTTCGATCTCCATTTTATTGCTTCATAGGACTTTACTGAACCTAGAAAGTGGAAATTTATTTTGAAATCGTCACTCGAACTATGCATTGTTCAAACCGATGCTTCCATTTTAATCATTTTCAACAAATGGAGGCCAAACCGAAGAATTAATGAAACGTAAAGACAGTTCTAATGCAACAGACCACTTCACTGCACTGCTCATGCCTTTGTAGAATGCTGTTCGATCACCGTTGTTGGTGCACTCCAGACCACCTGCAAAATGATGACAGGCTCATGATTACATGAAACAAGGAGGGCCCTGCACTGTACCCCGAATAGCTTCCCTGTTCAACCCATGCAAAGAACTGTAAGTGACAAAGGAACAATGATTATCGCGACAGTATTACGTGGCATATGGTAGTCTCCGACTTCCTACTCAGAGGGAGGGTGTTTTTTAACATGCTTGTCTCCAGCCTTTGATACAACGCTCTTATCCGCAAGCCAGTAGAGTGAATGAAGACTTGCTTCGAGACTCCACCTGAGGTCTTTGACTTGATTGTATGATTCACAAGGCCGTGGGGTGCACGTCCTGCTCGGAAGTGCAACCGCACTGTCCCATTGGAATCTGCTTAATAATGGCGTCACGCAGCATTGGAAGGTTTAAAATAGCTAATGTTTTTTAAGTGTGGTAAGTTATGCGCCTATGACTACGGTTATCACCAGTCATAATCAAGAATAGCAGTACGTCAGCCATTTGAACGGATGCTTTGCTGCCATACGACGAGACTGGACCTTAAAGTAGTCCTATGGTTTGTGTACCTTTGTGACCCATTGTGCTACGCCGGGTGGCACTTTCAAGTGCCTGCAGAGCCAATCATACCAGACAAGTCATTGGTTAGGGGTCGGACTAACTCAATCCCACATTTGACCCGCTGCCTTGCATGTAGGCTATTCAGCCAAAGGCTCTGGGTGGATTCCTTTAAAACAACTTCCTATTTCGAGATGGGCAACTGGGTAGTATCGCGCCTAATGACAAAACTATGGACTGATCAACTGTACTATCACTCTCAGCCGCTTTTGCTCCTGTTAGTCACTTACCTTCACACGCCACCTGTTCATTCGTTACCAATCAGTGGTATCCGTCACCAAATGATTCTTGTTTTCCTGATTCTACTCCGGATGGTTTCCTCGACACCTAGAGAGCTCGCTCGGTCGCACTCCTTCGGTCTCGGTCTTCGTTCCTTCTGGCATGCTTCAATGTACGTGCACTCATGCAGATCGGGTAGCAAGCTGGTCTAGCACTCACCCTGGAATCCCGCGCCATCGATGTTTGCTGTCTTTCCGAAACGTGTTTACAAGATCCCATTACTGTGATTGGGTTGAGGTCTCCAACCGACCGCGGAGCCATATTTAATCTACCTCTATCTGGTGATGCAGAAGCAGCTGCGGCAGGCTTGGCTGGTGTTGGTGTAGCGCTGAGTAACAAAGCCGAGGCAGCACTGCTGGAAGGGTTCCCGCTTAATAGCCGACTGTGTGCAGTTCGGCTTCAGAGAGCATGCAAGCCAAGCCGATGTCGTGAGGAGAGACACAACTTCTTTGTACTCTCAGCTTACGCTACAACTGACTGCAGTTCCGACTTCGTCAAGGACGATTTCTACCGTGAATTCATCAGCATTTGAGAAGAGCATACAAATCCGACATTGTTGTCCTTGTTGGGGATATCAACGCATGGGTCTGTCATCTGATGGCATGTGGAAGTCACCTCGGTGGTTACCATGCTCTCGATGGAAGCCGCTCAGATACTAGAGAGAGACTTCTCAAGCTGTGCGAAGATAATCACCTTTTTCCCTCGAGTACCAGCTTTCCGCAGTCGAGAAGATGTTCCGCTACTTGGCTACCCCCTTCTGCGTCTCAGATCTCGTCTCATATTGATCATATCGCAATCAGTTTCAGATGGAGGATAGTGTAAAGGATTGCATATCCACCTGGTCCATTTTTCTTGACTCAGACCATACTCTTGTCTGTGTGAACATCTGCATGAGTTTCGGAGGGTCCCCGAAAATGATGCGCTGTAAGATAGACACAAATAATCTATCTCCTGTTTCGGTTCAGCAGGGTTATCTAGCTTACCTGGCTAGTACACTCAGCTGTGACCCACCGCAAGATATTGATGAACACTGGACGTGCATGCAGAAGACCATGATTTTTTCCGGACACCAAGTCTGTGGTCTTACTCAGCACCGTATGAAGGCCTGGATCTCTACGCACTGAATTTATTTGACCGCCGCAGAAATATCCCAGTGTAATTTAATCATGATGAAGTGCGCCATTCTGTCAGTCGGCATCTCAGACAAAGCTTTCGCAGTGACTGTGAAGCCTGGTGGTCTCAGTGTGCTCCGGAAACAGAGGCCACTGCCCTCTCTGGCAATAGTCGAAAGCTCTTCCAGCTCATTCGATCCACTGGCCACAGAAAATCTGCTGTCAGTGCGACTATACGCGAGGCGGATGGTTCGTTGATTGCCAACTTACAGAGACGATTGGACCGATGGGCTGTTCAATTGGCCGTCACCGTCCACTTATATCCCCTGCTAACCCAGCTGTCCGCCATGGGTCCTCACACTTGATCCACTCAACGAAGCGGAAGTTTGTCTTGCGGTTCTATACCTAAGACAATCCAAGGCTAACGGTTCAGACGGACTTCATCGGGAGCTGTTCAAATATGGAGGCTCAGTTATCATTAGCCAGCTAGCCTCATTGTTCTCCCAAATCTGGCATGAATAAAGGGTGCCTTCTTCCTGGGGCGAGTCAATTATTGTCTCGGTTTCTAGGCAGGGTACTCGCTCTTCGTGTACCAATCACCGGGGGATTAGTCTCATTTCGTTTGCCTCCAAGCTATTGGCATCCATTCTACTCCGTAGACTATCTCCCGTTCGCGAATCGCAGTACCGGGAAGCACAAGCTGGCTTCCGACCTGGCCGCGGGTGTGTAGATCAGATATTCGCACTTCGTCGAATCATGGAACACCGCCACCTCTACCAGAGGCCTACCACCGTTGCATTTCTGGACATCCGTGCCGCATCCGACTCGGTTGATCTACCTGCAGTATGGCGTCTTTTTGCTAAGGAACGATGTCCCAGGAAAGTACGCTGCTATCCTACGCGCACTGTATTTCCACATCTCTGGCAGAGTGTGGGTGTGTGGCAGGCTTTCGTCATTCTTCGCTGTCATTAGCGGTATACGACAAGGCTGCCCTATGTCCCCGTTCCTCTACAACTTTGCGATTGAAGACATCTTGTTGAGAGCTCCAAACGGTTGCCAAAATTTTGGTATACAGCTTTTACCGGACAAGCGAGCAAGCGACATGGATTGTGCCGATGATATCGCCTGACTTGGTGAGGACTCACAGAGCATGCAAGCCATTCTAGACCGTTTGGCTGATTGAGGCTTCTAGGTGCGGAATTTTCTTTGCGTCATCAGTGTAAAGTAC